GTAAATTTCTCCAGATTTTCCTGTATTTCAGATGTCGAAAAAATCAAAACTCCAGCACGTACTTCACCCAGAATATGCAGCTTATACGACTTAAACAGGTAATTTTTTTTTTAAAAAAAATTTAAAACTTCTGTATTACGATTGCTGTATGAGTTTCCTACTGAAAAGGCTTTCAGTAATATACGCCGGGCAAATTGGTAAATTTCAGTAGTTATAAATTTCACATTTTTGTAAAAAAATTCAACCATTTAGCAGTATATTTACGACCGATTAACAGGGTAGCTGCGTTAGAAGTCGAATAACTAAATATTGGAATTCTCTCTCTTGGAATAGTTGTACTACATATTATCTCTAGCTTTCATCTCAATTGTCACATCCTCGGAAAAAAAAATCTCTAGAATCCACGATTAGGTTTTTATTAGGAATTCGTAATCCTTTTTTCCAAGTTTTAAACCTCACTTTATGCATATATTGTACGATAATTTTCAAGAATTTTGATTTTTCTTTTTTGCAACCCTCGATTTCGAGCCTCAGCTTTTGTATTATTCGTTGTAAAACATGTCCCGATATTTAGGTATTTTTCCAATGCCTTTTCTTATATTTTCTTCGTTTCTAATTGGTACCATCTTAAGCTGGTTCATCTCTTCTTTCTCACAAAATCGTAAGTTAAGAATTGTGATTAGTGTATTGCATTGCACATATTGTGATCTAAGTATAGTTGATCTTGGTCTTGATCTTTGATCTCAGTTTTGTGAATAACTGTACTGATAGCTTGGAACTCTTCCCTCCCCACCCATTCCTCCGTTTAATTTAGAAGAAAAGCTTGCACTCATAATTTTTTGGGTACAAAAATTGTCAAAATCTGTATTTACCAAGAAAACCACTGCATTTACTAAGCTAACCTCGTCTAAATTCTCTCACTCTGTAGATATTTCTCGCAGAAACACAGTGATTTTGGTGATTTATGCATTTTGTTTTGTAAAATCATATGAATTTTGTCTTTTTTTTGGTGAATGTTTTGATCTGATTTATTCTGATTTAATCTGATTTGATAAATTTTTTGATTTGTAATTATGAGTAGTTTACGTGAAAAAAATCTTGACGCACAATGCAAACTTTTATCAAAATAAGGGAAATGAGGTATATAACGCTATATGAGGAGCATAACATTTTCTTCACTATTATGCTTAGGTTTCGTTTTTGCGTATTTTCTGAAAACAGGCTAAATTGGGTGAGAACATCTGATGTACAATAGCACCGGGCTCCCTGGCTGTATCTCATAACATTCACGCTGATAATACGGATTGGCTTTTGCTGATTTTTCTTTCTA